AGTAGTTGCAAAACTAAACAGAAGGGAAAAGGGTAATGAATGTGGGATTTCAATTTAATTTTTTACAGCGTCAGCGGCGCGATTTTCTTGCTTTTGACACAAAATGAATCATTTAGCGTTTTATGAAGCAAAAATAATTTATTCTCAAGAATCGGTGGCGCAGGTATGGGTGTGTGTATATATATATATATATATATACTACATAAATACTATTTATATAAGCCAGTGCTTGACTACTCAGATCTGATCTTATAGAAGAATCTGATCAGAAGGTAAGTGGTTAAGCCACCGAAGGTGGTAAATCGTACTGACATTTTTTTAACATGGGGAAATGCCTACGCATACCCGCCTCGCGAGTGCGGGTTGTGTCGGACTCGTACCGACTAAAACTCCACCTTCGCCGAATATTGGCAGGGTCACGGGAACGCTTTCGCACACATGCGCGGTCTCACCGGCGCCGGCCAATCCCTGGCGGGCATTCCTCGGGAGGGGACTACTCCTCCCTCATTACCTTCTCAGGTAAGGCGCACCAGAAGACTTGGCGCGCCTTCCTTCACGTCCTCCAACTTCACCTGCGCAACGGACTCCAACGTGTTCGATGTGCGAAGGCCATGTAGCCAGGAAAAACGAGCACTCAGAAGCTTTAACTAACTACCCTTCCTGACCCCAACGGTGAATCTGGTCTATAGCAACGCCGCCAACCAAGATTCTGCTGCGGAGGATAGGGCGCATAACTATACTAAAACTTCTCGTCCTCTGCCTCTCCACATCGGCTACAGCATTAGGGTGAGAGCACACCCGTCTTGCCGCAGCTTACCAGCACACATCCGAAGTGGGCTCGCCAGCCCACTCGGAGTGGCCACCTCGGGCCAACCATGTGGTTTCCTTTCCTCCGCGGGTGACGAAGCCACGGCCATTAAGCTCCCCGCCCCCTTCCCCCCGTCACGAAAAGACAGGAACCAATTCGGGGGGGGAGTGTGATGCCCCCCCCCCCGTTTCGTTTCTTGAACGAGGATGATGTAAATGTCTATGGTCCACAACATCCACTTACCATCAGGTGACTGACTGCATGCTGACATCATTGCCACTTCAGCTTACTTATCCGTTGGGCTATGTCGGTTACTCTAGTAGTCTAAAGTCTTTTGCGGCATGGGCCAGTGAGTCGTCCTCCCTGTGCAGAGATGGTAGTGATTGCTTACAGAAATTCCCATGGACAGCCTTGGCGAGAGACCAGAATACACGGGTTCCCCAAGGAAGGCGAACTAGTTTCTCGCCAATTCTGCCTATGTGCTCTGACTTTGCTTTGGCAATAACTCTTTTGAAGGACCTGGAGGCGAAGTTATACTTCTTTTTAAACATGCTGGTGTTTACATCCCGAAGCCGCAGCCCAGGCTTGATAACACTCCTGCTTACTACGTAATGCAGTCTTACATGAGCGACCAAACTAAGGCTGAGATCTGCCGCCGATGGATACCACGGATAATGGAATAAATAGTTCCATTCCCTGAAGTACCACATCAGTGACAGAGTCAGCAACAGCGCTGGGATAATCCGGCGAGAAGCAAACCCGCCCCCATGGGTAGGATGCAAAGAAAGACCGCATTCCGTCCCAATCCGCCGACCTGTAATGCCAAACACGGCGACAACCTGCCGAACGCAACCGCGAGGGGAGCGTCAGTGGCACCACACTCCGGATTAGACAATGGTCCGAAGAGCCGAATGGAGCATCGCCGGAAACTTGATATCCGTCCGGATGAGAAGTCAGCAGAAGGTCCAACAGGGAAGGTGTATGATCCTCCACATCTGGAATCCGCGTGGGCGAAGTAACCAGTTGTGTCAGACCATATGCCAAGGAAAAGTCATAAACAGATACCCCGCATGATCGGTTAAACGTGAATCGAGCCATTCGGCGTGGTGGGCGTTAAAATTGCCATCTGGATCACGATGGATCACGATCTCTGCGGATGGGAGCTATTGTAGCAAGGAATCTGTAGCCATTTGGATGTGGTCGATGAGTCGGTCTGTTTCGGCATTACCGCTATGGGACCTATAGAAGCACCTGTAGACGCGCGGATGGTCGTCGCTATCTACGCGTAGCCAAAGGATGGACAGGTCCGAACCTTCAAGACTGCCGAGGCGACGAGAACAGATGTCCTCTCTGATGTATACGCAAACTCCAGCCCGAGGCACAAAGGAGTGCTCCAATTTGTACCCCGGGTAGGAGTGATACGAAGTTTCAGCCGGAGAGGACACCTGCGTCTCGGTCACAAAGAGCAAGGCCGGCATGGTAGTGGACGGCGTTTAGGTTCGAGTGAAGTCCCCTGATGTTGCAGAAATTCAAGGATAGCGCGGGGTCGCCTTGGTATTGTTGCTGAGTTTGCCCCGAGCAGTTATGTTTTTGAGCGGAGCACCCACGATCAGGAGTGGAATAACATGGTCGTGGATGCTCAGTGAGGGATGCTCCAGGGGTGCTGGTACCCTGCTGCCGCTACCATGTGGATGGGGGGGGAGGAATTGGGCTTCCGGCCACCTGCGCTCACCAGACGAAACGCAGAAGCAGAGCTTCTACTTCACGCCGGTGTTCTGTGAGGTCGTGGTACCAACCCGGCTCGAACCGGCCCATGCGTGCAACAGCAAAAACTGCCGCGTGGCGCTACCTCCGTTAAAGTAGTGGTAGCGTAGTGGAGCTCGTTCTAAAATTTATCTTAGATATTATTATTTTAATAAAATTAAATAACGTCATGTATTGGAGATTTCTAGTACTACGGTCACTAATCCTAGGGCCTGATAAAAAAAAGATAAGAATATTTTTTTTACATTTTTGATAACGAACTCTTTAGCCAGTGATTGACTACTTTCTAGACTGAAGGTTTGTAGGAGTGGTGTAGCTAACGATAGTAAAACACTGTGGCTTTGTTACTTAGCTTTTTTACGTGGTAGAGCCATGCTGCAGCTATATTAGTAGTAGGTATAGTTGTAGCACGAACGGGTCGGCTCGACCGGGAAAGGACCACGCTCTCACAGAATACCAGCGTAAAATAGCAGCTTAACACTGCTGTGTTTCGTATGGTGAGTGTAGAGAACCGGAGACTCTTTTTACTGGAAAATAGGCATTCCATCTTAGTCCTCATGGGTGACAACGCATCTGCATTTTGCGTTTTTTGTTTGATTCGCAAACGAGGATAAATGTAGATGTCTATGGACCACAGCAACCACTTACCATCAGGTGGACTGTGTGCTCGTTTGTCACCCTATCTTATAAAAAAAGGCCTTTTTACTCTCTTGCCTTGAATTTAGAATTTAAAAATTAAACATTAGAACCTAAATCGTGCATGGTTATTTTTCTAGCAATAGATATTATGTTACATCCATCGATCATCAATAAAAAACTAGATACACAATCAGTGACAAAAAATGTCCTTACCCAATGAGCGCCCACTCTAACATTTGGGTTCGCTTTTAATTTGTACGTAGCTTTGTGAGTACAACTTTAGGAAATGAATTTAAGGTTGAATTTGTATTAATGTATTATATTATATATTTGTATTTCAACTAGAGTTAGGTCAAAACAATTGGCGACAGTTTTTAGAGAACTTTTGCATGTGATTGTGTATCTAGTGTTTTATTAGAAGCGTTTTACCTGAAATAAACCGCATATTAAAATACTTACCTCACTGGAAGCTTTACATTGAGATAGCATTTCCGGTTCCGTCGTTTTTATCAGTTTTCTTACTTTTATCGATGTGATATCCAGTCCAGTGGCGTCACCAGATGATCGGGGTCGACATTTTTAGTTCATGAAATGTGTAGCACCGATTTTTACTCATTGGCTCAATTTTCACCAGGCAGAAATCAAATTAAAGCTTCCAGTGCGGTAAGTATTTTAATATGCGTTTTATTTCAGGTAAAACGCTTCTATTAAATCACTTGACCGTCACTGGAAGCTTTACATTGAGACCTGTTTATTGTCGCCTGGTGACGCCATTTGTTTAAAAAACACCAATGTGATAATAATACATATCAATAATTACACAATGTATAATTATTCACAATAATTTATTAGATTTAGGATATTTGAATTAACTTTAACATACCGTACTAATAACATTAATTGTACAAGATTAATGTTCGCGCCAAACACTTTCAAGGATTGACGCTAGAGGTCGCTCGGTGCGGTGCATTCATACCGGTTTGACATTCGGTCGTGCGAAAAACGCCCAAGTGCAGGGAGTCGTCTTTAAGCGGTGCTGACGTGAGCACGCGGCCAATTAAGCGCGGGAACTCGGAATAATTAAGCGCGGACAGTAAAAATACGGTCTAGGAGTTTTGTGGCGCGTATCCCTACTGGAGAGCTTCCCCGGGACACATTGTGTCCAACTCAGAATCTGTATAAGTGCATTCGACAATATTAGCTAGTGCGGCCTCTGTATTCTAGAACTAACTGTTGCAACGCGAAACGGTAGTGACCTTTGATCCCGAAACTCCGGGCGTGTTTTGTGCGGTAACCTTATACCCCGCGAAAGTTAGTGGCTTCTGTAAGCTAGTTAATCGTACGATAGAGTTAAGTGACTGTCATCGTGGCGAACAAGGAAAGTGAATGTGGACAAACCTCGGAGGGCCCCCTCAAGTTGGAGCGGTGTCGACGCCCGGGCTGCTGCCGACGGCTAAGGTCTAGGTTCAATCACCATCAGTCACACCCAGATACACACCACATCACCATTCTTTCCCTTGCATTACACAACCATATGCGACCTGACCGACTCCGGAGGGACCAGTCGCCTTGGACATAGGTAAGTAAGCTTCGTCCAAATACCTTCCGGTCGACTGGCCGTAGTATAGAACGCTCCCCCATATATTTAGTGTAATTAGGAATTTCCACGTGGCCACATTGAGGCCCGACCTACGCCTGCTCGGGAAGTCTTCAGCTCATGGGCCCCTGAGGATTTGATCCTTTAAGGGAGCAGCCGTAGGCCGTAACGATTAATATAATTATATTATAATCAATTTAAGGGAGTGAAACTATTTGAAACATTTGTCGGATCACTACAGTTAATCACTTCTCTTCTGTAATATTTTTTAAATGTATTGGCTGATTGCCAATTACCACGGGCCAAAATTTCGTCCAGTGGATGATTGTCGTACCAACTTTTTGAAGCTACTGCAGATCGGATGCTTCCTGGTGTTGCAGAAATGCCAGCTTCCTTGAAAATAGTTTTAACCCAGCCCGCAATGACTGTACGTGAAGCGGGCTTTGCTGCACCTCTAAGTGTAATAAATAGGTTAGAAGATCGTGCAGAACTGCGTCTTTCATTTAATAATGTTATAGTTTGTTCTATCCAGAACAGAGGATTTAGGTTGCAATGAGTATTATTTGCAACAAATTTCCACCCAGATTGTCTATAATCACTTCGACCAGTTTTTGAGCCAAATTCAGGCCAAAATATTATACTATCTTCAGACTTTATGCAGTGATTAGGATCTACTCTTAGTAATGTTAAATCATGTAAACGTCTACCCGAGTATATAAGTAATAAAATTGCTGTATGTCTAGATGTTTGAAAAATATTCTTGGAATCTACTTTGTAGGCGGTTAAAAATGAAATTAATTCACTAACATTACAAATAGGTGGTTTAGACTGTTTCAGATTTTTCAGAGAAATTGATTTAAGTACATGCTTAACGAGAACATGTGAGCTTAGATGTGTTGAATTTTCAACGTTACACAGAGTAGCAACTACAGACTTATGTAAAAGTATTGTATTGTATGTCAAGCCATGGATTAAATATAAATCTGATAAAAATTGCGCTAGTTGTGAACCCGTGAGGTTTTTAGGGTCAACCTTTTTGTTACAAAACCACGAAACCCAGCGTTTCCAAGCGGCCTAATAAGTTCTCAAAGTAGACTTTCGCCATGAATTTTTAAGTAACTTGAGTTGTTCAGTGTTCCATGTTTCTACCTCCTTGGACCACCCCCACATTTCCATACCTCGAGTATGATGTTCTCCACATTCGGTGGTGGGTGTCCCGTTGATGTGTCGACTAGGTGATTCTGAAGGTTTTTCAATGACATCGGTGCTGCGAGTGCCCGAACTTTGAGGTCCGCGCGCCAGAATACCTTTTCCATCTCGGAACGACTAACAGAAATATTCCTGTCGATTGATTCAGGTAGGCTAAGACTTTGGGAACTAGAAAGGGTGGTGGGAATACCCACGCAAGCGGGTAGTTCCATGGAGTACTGAATGCGTCGTGAAATAGGGCTTGAGTATCTTTCACATCTCGTGATACATAGTTGTACACTACATGAGCCATCTTCGATGCAAACAGATCTATCACCGGGGTTCCCCATTTTGCGAACACCGTTTCCACACAAGATGGTAGTAGGTTCCATTCTGGAGGATGGCGATGACGCGATAAGTGATCGGCATGGTTGTTGCATTTGCCGGGGATATAGTGTATGCTGAAATGTATTTGATGTCGATCCAGCAAATTCAAAATCTTGTAGGTCATTTCCATTAACGATTTTGATTTCGTACCTCCTTCTTTTCGAAGATGAGCGACTGCAGTCTTGTTGTCGCTCTGTATAAGGATTGAGCTGTGACGCAATAGTTGGACTTGACTTTGAAGAGCATAAAGTATGGCCAACATTTCTTTTTGATTGCAATGAATACCTTGCTCTTCCTCTCTCCAAGTGCCCGAGAGAGCCATATTGTTCAACTGTGCTCCCCACGCTTGGTCTGATGCATCTGTAGCTAAGAAGTTTTTTGGTGGCGGGTAATGTAGGAGCGTTGACGACTGGCAATTGTGAAGCCACCACTTCAACTCTTGGCGGGCTTCTTCTGGTAAGGTGTGCATCTTCTGTGGGTGCTTTAATACAGTGTTCATAAACATTAATAAGCTTCGATGATGGAGCCGGCCTCTTGGAACAACAAAACTGGCAAAATTCAAGACACCTACTACGCTCTGCAATTCCTTTAAGCTTAGCTTTTATCTTTCTAAGGCACGACTTAATTTTTTGATTATCGTGACAGTTTTTTCTCTCGGAAGAGATTTTTGATTTTTCCAAGGATCCCAAAGTACTCCTAAATAGGTTATAGGCTTTTGTGGACAAATAATCGATTTCTCGAAGTTTATTCGCCATCCCAGTTTTTGCAAGGTTTTTACTGCAAGTTCTACATGTTCCTGTAGCGTGCAAACATTTTGATGTGCTATTAAGAAATCGTCCAAATAAACTAGGATTCTTATATTGTACTTTTCCCTTAGCGATTGCGCTAACCAATTTGTGAGTATAGAAAAGGTTCTCGGAGCCGAACTTAGGCCGAACGGAAGACAAGTCATTTCTAGTAATCTTGGTTGTATATAATGCGAAGGAATCGTCTTTGTGACTCTTTTATTTGTAAATGAAAGTAGGCCTGAGACAAGTCTACTTTGCACATCCAGTCCTGGTGTTGGAGAAAATCTGGAATTCGATTTATGTTTATTAGGTGAAAAGGTTTTGCTATCACATACTCGTTGAGCGCCCTGAGGTTGAATATCGGCCGAAATGAGCCGTCGGATTTTGGCACCAGAAATAGAGGAGAGATGAAGCTTGGTGCATTTGGAGCAACTTTTAAAATGCCCTGTTTCCTCATATCTTGTACAATTCCCGACATAACCTCTGAGACAGGAGTTTGAAAAGGGTTTTTTATAACATTTGAGTAAAGAAGCGGAGGTTTTTGAAAGAAAGGTATGCGATACCCTTGAATCAATTTAATTATAATTTCTGGCGCTCTCATCTCCTTCCACTGCGTCAGATATAGAACTAGCTGACCTACTCGAAAGGGTGTCGAGTCATTGCTTAAACCTTTTTCCTTTGGATACTCTCGGAGCATTTGAGGGTCTTGAAACATCGGGTTGCAAGCGTCGGTTGTGAAATGAACCCCTTCCATTATTATTGTGGTTATCGTACTGATACCTTGAGTACTGCTCTCTGGATTGATGTTTGAATTTATGGTGCCCACCTCGCGAAGGTTGGTTGTTGTCCGTATGCACGCGCATTGGCATATCCACTTCATTAAAAGTATATAGATTTCCACGCGATGGAGCTGATGGTTTTCGTGTGCCTCGTCCCCGCGAGGGACGGTGGTTATATTGATTTGATTTAACTTGAGAAAAAGCATCAGTTTTTGGTGGCCAAAATGCTTTGCGCACCCCGCCAGATTTTTCCAACATAGATGTGAAACATTCAGGTTCAAATAAATAACAAGGTGTAGGAGGTATTCTGTTTAACGACGTTTTCAACAAGGGATTTCGAGCTTGGCTGGTTATCGTTTCACGACGTATTTCAACACGATGGCCGCAAACTAACTGTAATAAGTCTGAAGAGATTTTATGAAACTCCCCTTTTTGAAATATCTCTTCCACCTTAAGACTTAATTTATCGTTTGTAATTTCACTGTTTTTAGCCCATGAAAGAAGATTACGGAAACCATCTTGTAATGCTTCTTTTTGCTTTAATATGCCGTAAGCTATAGCTGCATATGCTTTATCGTCATAAGACAAATAACGTAAGGTGTCATATATTTTAACCTCTTCATTTGTTTCCAAGTCAATGAAACCTGGAGTATGGTTATATAGCTTCTGTGTATCAGCGTACCTTACTTCTGACCATGAGGTACTGTTGAAGCGCTGAACGTCATTTAACATTTTTAAAAAGTTATCTGGCGTTTTCAAAACGGGAGATTCCTTCAATTTCGTTTCGATATTGAAAATGAAGTTATCGTTTGAATTTTCTTTGTGAACATCTGAATATTGTTCATGAGTACCCGTAAGATCACAATAAAGGTCTCCACTGACCCCAGAAAAATTTGATTCATCGTCACGATATGTTTTATCATAGTTATTAGATGTAATGACATGTTTCCGAAGTTCGCCAATTTCTTTCAATAGTTTATCTATCGTGTGACTAGAGTGTCGAATACGTTTATTTTTCTTACACCGCCGATGACATTGAGATCGCTTACCTCGTTTATTATTTGAAGAGGGTGAACTAGAGGAACTGCTACTAGTCGAACTACTACTGCTGCTTCGATACCTTTTACGAGCCCCACCACTTGGACCAGCCACAGGCTCGGTAGCGATGGGAACCGAAGTATCAAAATTATCCATTACTGTAATGAAGTTACGTTCTATAAATTCATAAAGTCAACTATTTTCATATTAAAATATTTCATCAATTTGTTCAAACCAACAATAATTAATTGTAGGTAGTTTAACTTTTTATACTAGAATTATTAAACAGTGTACAAATTCAAATATTTACATTAAAATATTTCATAAATTATACAAATCAACAATAATTAGGTAAATGGAGGTACTTTAACTTTTTATACTAGAATTTTTATAATGTACAAATTTAACTCGTACTTAAGGTAAATATAGCTAATGATTCGAACGGAAAATTCCGTTTAAAAAGAAAGTTAACGTGTTAAGTACCTTACCGGTGGTTAAGTCGTATTCACAATTTCTCAGGATTCAACACTTTTAACTATTAACACAATCAATTTAAATATATTTTACTTTGTGAACGTTGATTGTCGCAAGGACAGAGCCGCTTGCGCACAAGTTACTTCGACGGAGAATGAAACGCCAATGAGTAAAAATCGGTGCTACACATTTTATGAACTAAAAATGTCGACCCCGATCACCAGGTGACGCCACTGGACCGGATATCACATCGATAAAAGTAAAAAAACTGATAAAAAACGACGGAACCGGAAATGCTATCTCAATGTAAAGCTTCCAGTGACGGTCAAGTGATTTAATAGTGATCGATGGTTACATCGCTTAAAATTATAAAATTGTATCAAAAATTCTGAACTTGCGGTCGTATATCAAAATACTCTGGTATTCTAAGATACGCTACACATTTTAAAAATTGTTGCGAAGTAAAACGAACAAAAGCTATTTCAAACTATTGTTAATAGTTTAAAACTGGAGCAGAAATAACGCTGTAATGGCTTAGTTCAATTTCTTAATTTGATTTCCTTTGGGAAAGGCTAGTAAATATTCGTTGTGTTTATTTCTCATCCTTTGTTATACTATTATTAAATTTGCATTATTATTATACACGCAATCGTTGGTGGTTCTGTTAGTAATCGCGTAACTTCTGAGCAACTGATGAATTCGGCTCATGATGACACGATATAATATTTGTTTGTCAAGAAGATGTTTTATAACTAAGTTTGGATTCGGTAGGTCGCGCTAGCGGATAATATAATATGAAACAGATGCTCAAGAACGTTATGATTGCGGGTCCCACTTTATAATATTTATATATACTAGCGAACCGCCCCGGCCTGCACGGGGATTTCTGGATCTCCAAAACAATGCCAACTACTAGGTCCAATTGTAAATCTTTACCAAGAAAATAAAACAAAAAAATATCAAAAATGGTCCAGCCGTTTCAGAGTTCAGTGAAAAATGCACGTTTAGAAGAATTTATATATAGAAAGATATATCAGTGCAGGTCATTTGATTTTATACGACTTAAGAAAAAGTTTATTTTACCGGTTATATATTTGTCGGAAATACATCAAAAGGGTAAATGCAAAAAAATTGTGTCAGAGCGAATGCCCAAATTACTCTTTCCTGGTTACGCAATTAATCA